TCGTGTGTGTGTGTGTGTGTGTCTGACCCTCTCACATCTCACACAGCGTGAAGGGGCCTGAGCTCATCAACATGTACGTGGGCCAGAGTGAACAGAATGTGCGGGAAGGTGAGTGAGCAGGGAGGGGCAGGGCTTTCGGCCCTTCCCAAAGCCTGATGGCCCGTGAGCCACCCCCACCCCAGGCTGCTCAGGGTTATTGCTAGTCCCCATCTCTACAAGTCAGATTCCTGCCCAGCTGGGTCTGGTACCTGGAGTGCCAGTGCTGAATTGTCAGACACTGGTTTCATTCCCCCTTTCGCCCCAGCTGCAAACCCCCTGAGCTTGCCCCTCCTGTGGGCTCCTCTCTCCTCAGTGTTCGCTAGGGCCAGGGCTGCGGCTCCATGCATTATCTTCTTTGATGAACTGGACTCCTTGGCCCCAAGCCGAGGGCGAAGTGGAGACTCTGGAGGAGTGATGGACAGGTGGGGGTGTGAATGAGAAAGGAGTCTGGGGTTCAAGGTGGGAGGGATGTGAGACAGGTCACAGCAGTTTTTAGATGAGAGCCCAAAGGTAGAAGTTCCCGCCCTTCCAGTTTTGAGATAGTATAATGGGAGCTAAAAGGTGCCGTGGAGTTGGGCATGAGACATTGAGGAAATGGGGGAGTGCATGGAGGGGTACACAGGGCACTGCTGAGTAGAGGGCCCCATTGAGACAGCCTGCAAGCAGAGGCACCATGGGCAGGGACAGAGTCCAAGGGTGGATCTAGGACTCTCGCCTTCGCTTCCTGCTCTACAGGGTGGTGTCTCAGCTCCTGGCCGAGCTGGATGGGCTTCACAGCACTCAGGATGTGTTTGTGATTGGTGCCACCAATAGACCAGACCTCCTGGACCCTGCCCTTCTGCGGCCTGGCAGGTGGGCACCCTGCACCTCTCACCACCACCAAGCTCATTTGGGCTTGTCCCTCTACCCCCATTCTGAGCCTCCTTCATCTCTTATGGCTGGGCTCCCTGATACTTTTACCTGCCTTTCTCCCTAAAGATTTGACAAGCTGGTGTTTGTGGGAGCGAGCGAGGACCGGGCCTCCCAGCTACGTGTTCTGAGTGCCATCACACGCAAGTACGCCCTGTTAGAGGAAGACTTCCAAAGTGCTTGGGCCTTGGGATGGCTGGAGATGTATGCAACATTCAGGAGAAGCTGGTCAGTAATGGCTTTCAAGGGAGGAGGGGATGCCAGCTGTAACTGTTTCTCTCCCATATCCCCACCACAGATTCAAGTTAGAGCCCTCTGTGAGCCTGGCAAATGTGCTGGATTGCTGCCCTCCCCAGCTGACAGGCGCAGACCTCTACTCTCTCTGCTCTGATGCCATGACAGCTGCCCTCAAACGCAAGGTTCATGACATGGAGGAAGGTGAGCCACTCACCAGCCCCAGAGGTCAACCAAAAAGCTAGTAGGAGACAAGCCCAGTTCTGGATTTGAGAGGAGGGACTGTTGACATCTGGGAGACTCTGAGCAGGAAGATACCTCCCCCAGGGCTCTCCCCAGTCTGAGCATAGACCACCATAGCCTCTGTTCCCCAGATGGAATGAAGATCCCGGCCTTACATCCCTCTTGTTACCCTACCCTAGGGCTGGAGTCAGGGAGCTCAGCACTGGTGCTCACCATGGAAGACCTGTTGCAGGCTGCTGCTCGGCTGCAGCCCTCGGTCAGCGAGCAGGAGCTGCTCCGGTACAAGCGCATTCAGCGCAAGTTTGCTGCCTGCTAGGAACCTCCTGCAGTCGATGACCCTGCCTACAATGGCTGGAGGTAACTAGATAGCCCCACAAGAAGACCTAAGAGGAAAATGCTCTTCCTAGGCTGTTGCTGACCCACCTGAAAGCTGCCTCCCTCTAGGAGATCTCGTGGGTGCAGAGTGGTCCTGGGAGCTCCAGTGAGAGCTCAAGAGGATCTCCTGCCTCCTTGCCCCTCCTTCCAGGCCAGCTCTAACAATAAGGCACATCTGCTCAGGAGGAGGGCCCAGGCTTGGGATTCTGCGGATTGGGTCCTGGGAGGGCTAGTTCTGAGGCTGAAAATAAAGTACGCCACCCCCTGCTGGTGTTGTGGCATGAAAGGTTGGAGTGGGGAAGAACAAGGTTGTGGGAATAAGCCCTAGGGAAGGTCTTGGGTGGGCACCATGGGATCCTGATCCTTCTGACATAAACACAGCCACATAGGAACTGAAAAAGGCACCAGCTATATTGTTTACCCTTCCGTTTGCCTGTCCCCACCTGCCCAGACAGAGCCTGGCAGCATCTGGGCAGAGGGTATGGGAGTTGAGGCCACACTCAGTCAGTCTTCTTGAGCACGTGGATGAAGTAGCAGGGAATGTAGGCTTGGCCTGGCTGGTAAGGCTTGAAGTCGCCCAGGATGCTGTGCTGGCACTTGCCCCCAAAGGCTGCTTGGAGCAACTCCGTGAAAGGCGCCAGACAGTGTGGGTAGTAGGAGAGCCGGAACTTACTGCAACAGTGCCCCCAGCCAACCATAAGCCTGGTGGCCTCAGCTCCCCCCCACACCACCACTTCACCCCCGCTGAGCCAAGTGGTACCTCAAGCCAGGAGAACCATCCTGGCCAGCCCCCGGCACCTGCACTGTGTAGTCCAGGGTCACCATGTGGGCTTTGTTGTTCACTGTCAGCACTGATGTCGTGACATCCTTGGTCAAGTCACTCTGTAGGCGGTGCAGGCTGCCTTAGCTTCTAACCTACTGGCCCCCTAGATCACACCTCCCACTCTGGACCCTCCCTCCCCTGGTGGGCCCCACCTTATAGTAGATGTTCTTCCCTGGGGGTGCACGGCCTGTGCTGAGGATATGGTCATAGTTGCGATGATCGATGACCAGCAGGCCCCCTGACCGCACCATGCTAGCAATGTTCTTCAGCGCCAGCTGGTGCTCACTCTGGTCCCCTGAGTGCCAGGCAGAAGCAGAAAGGCTCTGTCTGCTCAGGGCCCCCAGCACCAGTCCCCCTCCCATCTCTCCCCTCCACAGGGACAGAGCTCAGGCACCCAGGGATCTGTGGAAAGGGGTATAGCTGAAGACAAGGGCCATGCCTAGGCTACACCCTCTCTCACCTTTGCAATCTGGCAAGTGGGCGAAACTGTTTCCAAGGCAGATGACGGCATCAAAGTTACCCCTTGCTGACTGAGGCACATCTTTGTCCAGGGTCATCCAGTTGGCTTCTTCAATGACTGAGGGCCAGGAAGAGGAAGAGAAATCAGGGTGGCACCATACCAGTAGCACCCACCTCCACCAATGCAGTCCTACCTCAGTCTCCAGGGCACACACAGGGACTCCCAATCCAGTTAGTAGGTAGGAGATCATTGAGGATGAGAAGGGAAGAGGGAGCCATGGTTAGGAAAGAGGGCTCTGCACTTATGGTTTTTTATTTGGGGGAGAGACAGGATAATATAAACACAGTTAAAACTAGCTCTTCACTCCTAGTACCTTATTCTGGTTCCTAAGCTTCCCTTTGCAGGGAAATGACAGTAATTTTGCTCCCCTAGAGGAATACAAATCACCCCACCCCACCTACAGGAGCCTAGGGCAGAGAGAACAGTGTTCCTGGTGGCTGGGCTAGAGCAGCTGGCTGGGAAGGCCTGGCTGGACCTGCATACCCCATTTGTCAAAGGCAGGCTCGTGCCGCCGCTTCCAGCGCTCTTTAAGGGCATACTTCAGCATCTTGTCACTGGCATCCACGCTCATCACGCTGAAGCCCTCTTCCACCAGCATGATGGAGTCCACCCTGGGCAGGGACAGGGATGAGAGGCAGAGAGTGTCAGTCAGTGGAGCCTAGGAGGGCAAGGAGAAGGCCCTGTGTAGGACACTTCTGTCTCAGCCCTTGAGTCCATTCCTCTGCTTCCTCTCCCCAAGCCCTGTCTACTGACCTGAACTGACCTGCAAATCTGTTTATCACCAGATAGCAACTTTTTCTTAAAAAAGCACCTGTTCAGATTCAGGCACTCTACAGGTGTGCATCAATCCTCATGGCAATGTGAGGTAGATGATGTTATTCCATTTGAGTAATAGGCAAACCGAGGCTCCTGGAAGTTAAATAACTTGTGCACAGGAGGCAGTAGTGCATGGTGGTTTAAAGCACCGTCCAGACCCTAACCACCCTGGGTCTGGATCTCCTCTCCACTGGATAGGGGACTTTTACTTCTCTGAGGCCTGATTTCCCCAGTAGTAAATGGGGAATATTACTACTTACCTCGTGGGGTTTTGTGAGGGTTTGGGAAACGGATGTATCAAAAGCTCTGGCACAGCTCTTGGCACGGCAAATGTTGAACGAATGTTAACTGCTAACGCTGTCTAAGGCCATCGCAGGAGGAACGGTGCTGGAGCCGGGATCCTGCTCTTGCTCTGCCTCATGCAGCCTCACTTTTCTGCCCTCACTCTCATTCTCGGTCTCCTCGGGCCCTTCCTCCCACCAGCCTCGCCCGTGCCCTCGGCGTGCCCGTTCTGCCTGGGCGGGCATCGGTTCCCGGCCCTGGTGTCCCGCCCCCACCCGGCTCCGGCTCCAGCTCTGGCTCCGGGCTGGTGAAGACTGCCCCGACGTGCCCGGCCGTGGTCCTGCGGGCCGGCGCCCTGGCCCACATCCCCAGCCCTCGTCCGAGCTCACCCGGTGCCACAGGCTACGTCGAGTACCCGCCGGCAGCCGTGCTGGCGCAGCAGCCCGAGCAGCCAGGCCTTGTACTCGGACGTGCGGCTGCGGGTGTCCCCGATGTAGAGCTGCCACACGCGCGCCGCCTCCCCGTCGGCGTACTGGTCCGGGAGACCTTCGGCCGCCACCCCCAGGGAGCGGGTCCGATACACACTGTCCACCATCCTGCGCCGCGCCTGGCCCCGCAGCCACCCGCTCCGTACTTATAGCGCGGCCGCCACCAGCGGGCGGGTGGCCCCACCTGGCCAATGGCAGGTGAGCGCGGAGACGCGCCCCTGCTAGGCTCTGCGCCGGGCGCCCGCGGCTGCTCCAGCCCCCGGGAGGGCGCCGCCTCCTCGCATTCCTGGACCGGGCCCTTCCTGGACGCCTGAGGACCTAGCCCTCTGTGCAATCTCAAGGAGCGAGAGGACCCTCTGACCCTCCAAGCCCTCTGCAGAGGAGGTAGCAGTGAGATTGTCCGCTCCACCCCCACCCAAATTGGAAATAAAGGGAAGAAAACTTCAAAATCCACACAGAGCTGAGTGCCCAGGCGGGCTGGACTGGACCGTCCCCAGGGAGGAAAGAAGGTATCGGTCTATCTAAAGAAGGAACGTGCAGCTGAAGGGGGTCCTAGTCAGTCAGGGAAGGAAGGACGTGGGGAGTCTCTGGGGATAACGTTGCTCTGTCCATCCAAGTTCAGGAGCAGAAGGGACGCCTCTGTCGTGTGCAGATGCATCAGGCTTTTCCCTGAGCCTCCCAGGTTGGAGTCTGGTCCTTCCTTCCAATTCCTGTCCCAATGAGCCCCCTTCTAAAGAGGGGCCCACTGGGAGGAAAGTCCAGGGTCAGGAGTGGGAGTGCTTGGTGCCCGTGCTGTTATACTGCTCATTGTCACTTCATAAATTGGTCATTTGGTTTGGTTCATGTACAGCCACCCTTCCTCCCCAGAGCAGTTTTCTAGATTTCTCTTGCATGACAAGACTCTGGACTGAGGTGGACTCAGGAAGATGCCACCCAGCAAAGCACAAGACATGGAGAACAGCCTTCCCCACCTGTCTTTGTTTTGCCTTCAGAAAGAAGGAGTCATGGAATTTAGACAAAGGAGCCTCCCCTCCTCTAACACTTTTATTGTCCGTAGAATGTCAGAGCTGGAGGAACCCCAAAGATGATATAATCATTCTTAACTTTCTATTTTTAGCTCATGGGCTGCCTCATACGGGCCAATCCATGCCCAAGTCATGGAGCCTGGTGCTCACGCTGACCCTGCAGACAGGTCTGTGGCAACAGGCTTAGAGAGGCACTGCACTGAAGAATTGCAAATAGACCCAGAGTCATCCTTTTATCAGAGTATTCTTGGGAAAATTCACTCTGCCACACCTAGACTTAAAAAAAAAAAACAACCCATATTAAAAGAATTATCCTCTCAGTTGTGGGCAGAACTCTGTCTACTGTTGTGCTGTGTCCTCGCATCAAGGCGTTAGTACGTAACCACCTCACTCTATGGAGTCAGCTTTTCTTTTTTCTCTTCTTCCTTTTTTAAAGTATGAGTTATCTCCAAGAAAATTAGTTCCTTCCTTGGGTGGGAAAATGCATTTTTTACTTAAAACAAACTTGGTATTTATTTTATCCTAAATTAGGACTGGCCAGTTAGCTCAGTCATTTAGAGCGTGGTACTGATAATACCAAGGTCCAAGGTTCAACCCCCGTACTTGCTGCTGCCAAAATACAAAACAAACAAAAAAAGTATTGTATTTACAGGTTTAAAGGCCACACTCTTCATTCTTATACCGAAATTGATTGAAACATTTGGTTTTTATTTAAAAATTGATGCTTAAGAATTTTTTTTTTTTGGGGGGGGGAGGGCAGCTGGCCAGTATGGAGATGATACTTAAGATTTTTGAGAAACATAAAATTTTACCCACAGAACCATAGTATAATTTTAAAAAATAATATAAATGCTGGTAGTAAATTTGGATTAAAAAAAATTATGGATCTAAATGTACTTTCCATTTCAAAAATAACATTTTTGGTCCTAAGTTGATAATTATTTATTTCTCATCCAGAGGCATTTTTTAGAATGTCAAGATCACAGTGCACAGGAAATTTCATGTACTCTTTTCTTTCTTTTTTTACCCTTTTTTTTTCTTTAAAGGTTTAAGATATTCCAGGAATTTTATTTCATTTCATTTTTTTACTTTTAACCACCCAAAGCATATTTTTTTCTCTTGACCATAAATTGCTTAGCCTTCTTCATGGGTACATTGATAAAACCTTTAAATATGAGAAAGAAAGAAAAAAATTAATGGCTACATTGAGTGGGTATGTTGCATGTAGTTTTTGGTTTTTGGCGGCAGGCTGGTACGGATCCAAACCCTTGACCTTGGTGTTACAACACTGCTCTCTAACCAACTGAGCTAATCCCCACTTTCTTTCATTCTTTTTTTTTTTGTTTTTTTTTGGGGGGGGTATGGCCGGTTTGGGGATCCAAACTCATGACCTTGGTGTGACAAGGCTGTACTCTAACCAACTGAGCTAAACTGCCAGTCCCTAATCCCCACTTTCTGAACATGCAGCATGCTGTTACAGAGACAGAGAGGAGAACAGCACTCGAAGTCACAGACATACACAAGTAAAGACTGGAGTTACGCAGCTGCAGTCCAAGAACATCAAGGATTGCCGGCAACTACCATGAGCTAGGAGACGGCGTGGGGCCCTGCCTCAGTGTCAGATTCTAGACTTCACAACTGTGAGAGAATAGATTTCTGTTGTTTTAACCCACCCCCCGCCAAAAAAAATTAAATGCTGCTACAATTTTTCAAAAGAGTGAACACATTGATGATTATGATCAAATCTTTTTCTAAATGAAAATTTTCTATTAATTGATGCTGTCACCAAAAACAAATGTTTGTTTCAACTCTTCTCTACACGAAAATGTTATTCATTAGGTAGAAAATTTCATTGAATTTTTTTTTTTTTGAAGGCTGGCCAGATTGAACCCAGGACTTTGTTGTTATCAGCACCACGTTCAGTTTAATCAGCTGAGCTAACCGGCCAGCCCCTTGAATTGTTGTAATTTTCTTTAATTAGTACCAAAACTTACTAAATAATTGGCATCCCACATCTCTAAACTGTCCATGTCCTCTGTCCACTGAAATGTATTGAAACTGCCTTTTATTTTACTTAGTCTCTGTAAATTTTAGATAACCCAAATCTGAGCCTGTGGGCCATGGATGAGAAAGACAATGTAAATCAACTTACAGCTTGACTTAACTGAAAATAAGAATAGGTGATATTTTAAATAGGGAACACATTATTTGGAATTGGCTGAAAAGACTAAATTCTTCATCCCCAAATGTGTGACATATTTGCAAAAGACCACCTTAGGAAGGCAGCTGTAAGTGGACAAACTCCAAAGCAATCCTATTTCAGTGCACATTAAAATCCTGGAATTGTGGGGTGGGGAGAAGGGAAGACAAGAGCTGGCCAGTTAGCTCAGTTGGTTAGAGCGCAGCCTTACAACACCAAGGTCATGGGTTCTGATCCTTGTACTGGCCAGCTGCCTTCCAACCCTCCAGGCAAAAAGAAAAGTCCTGGAATTGTGAATTAAATATAGTAACTACAGGGCCGGCCTGGGGCTCACTCAGGAGAGTACGGTGCTGATAACACCAAGGCCATGGGTTCGGATCCTATATACGGATGGCCGGCCGGTTCGCTCACTGGCTGAGCGTGGTGCTGACAACACCAAGTCAAGGGTTGAGATCCCCTTACCAGTCATCTTTAAAAAAAAAAAAAAAAAAAAAAAAAAAA